TATTTAAGTACATTACTTTGGTGGTAAAAAAAAAAAATCACACATTTAGAAAAAAAAAAAACTTGAAATCATGTGTCCCACAATTATTGGCACCCCTAACAATTCCGCTGAAAATTTTAATTGATTTAAAAAAATATATTTTTTTTTCTGTAGTTGCTAAAGTTGGTCAGGGTATCTAGGAACTTTTAATTAGTAATTCATGACTTCCTGTTTCCCTGGGGTATAAATATGACGTGACACAGAGGCCTAATTCTCTTACCCATTTGTCAACATGGCAAAGACAAGAGAACACACCATTCAAGTGAGGCAGATTTGTGTCGACCTTCATAAGTCAGGCAATGGCTACAAGAAAATAGCCACTCGCCTTAACTTGCCCGTATCTACAGTCAGAGGAATCATTAAGAAGTTTAAAACAACTGGAACAGTGACAAACAAGGCTGTAAGAGGTCCCAAGTTTATCTTGCCACAACGCACAGTGAGGAGGATGGTAAGAGAAGTAAAAAAAAGTCCTAAGCTCACTGTCACAGAATTGCATCAAAGAGTGGCATCTTGGGGTCACAAAGTCTCCAAAACAACCATCAGACGCTTTCTACATGCCAACAAGCTGTTTGGGTGGCATGCAAGGAAAAAGCCTTTTCTCACTAACACTCACAAACGTAAACGTCTGGAGTTTGCTAAGCGGCACTGGGACTTCAACTGGGATCGTGTGCTTTGGTCAGATGAGACTAAGATTGAGCTTTTTGGCAACAAACACTCTAAGTGGGTCTGGCGTAAAACAAAAGATGAGTATGCCGAAAAGCACCTCATGCCCACCGTGAAGTATGGTGGAGGATCTGTGATGCTGTGGGCCTGTTTCTCTTCCAAAGGCCCTGGGAACCTTGTTAGGGTGCATGGCATTATGAACGCTTTGAACTACCAGGACATTTTAAATATTAACCTGATGGCCTCTGCCAGAAAGCTGAAGATGGGTCGTCATTGGGTCTTTCAGCAGGATAATGATCCAAAACATGTGGCAAAATCTACACAAAAATGGTTCAGCAGTCACAAACTCAAGGTCCTCCCATGGCCATCTCAGTCCCCAGACCTCAACCCAATCGAAAACCTGTGGGGCGAGCTAAAGAGGAGAGTGCATAAGAGAGGACCCAGGACACTGGATGATCTAGAAAGATTGTGCAAAGAAGAATGGTCAAAGATCCCTCTCTCTGTGTTCTCCAATCTTGTGAAAAGTTATAGGAGGAGATTAAGTGCTGTCTTGTTGGCAAAAGGGGGTTGTACAAAGTATTAACATCAGGGGTGCCAATAATTGTGGGACACATGATTTCAAGTTTTTTTTCTTCTAAATGTGTGATTTTTTTTTTTTACACCAAAGTAATGTACTTAAATAAAAGGTTGGATTTTTCTCTTTTTTTGCATTTGTGTTCTATGTTGTTTAAAAAATAAGGAGAATTTTTGGAAGTCCTCGACCACATCTTAAACAGGGGTGCCAATAATTGTGGAGGGCACTGTATCTGCGTGCGAATTATGATTATTCTTATATGTACATTTTGGTAGAACAGTTTCATTTTTGATAACGTTTTAATTTCTCAAAATTAGTGTCATGGTTAATCATAAAAATCTTAATAAAAAATCATAAAAATCTAAAAGTTAAAATTCAACTAATGCAAGAGCACCAGCCTTTGCCATATGGACACATTGGTACACTGTGATCCACGGAAGGAGCACTGTTACACATGATCTACGACCACAACAACTACATGGGGAAACCAGTACTTCATGAGGAGGGGAAAGTACCCTGACTAGTGTCCCCTGTAGCTCAGTTGTGTCCCCTGTAACTCAGTTGGTAGAGCATGGCGCTTGCAACGCCAGGGTTGTGGGTTCGTTTCCCACGGGGGGCCAGTTTGAAAAATGTACGCGCTCACTAACTGTAAGTCGCTCTGGATAAGAGCGTCTGCTAAATGACTAAAAATTTAAATGTAGTACTTTGGAATGAGTGACTGCATCAGGTCCTTCTGCCTGATCCCCGAGGACAGAGAGAACTTCGGAGGTCAGATGCACAAGATGATGGACGACTGTGACAACATCATGGATTGTTACCGCATGAACAACCAGACCTCAGTCTTAAGGGGGGCATATGAAATGCATGGGAGGGCAGGGCACAATTATTATTAGCCTACAGTACGTATATTTAATAATAAATTCCCTCAAGTGGGGGGGGCACAAGCAGTTTTGGGGACGGGCCCGGCCCCCCAATGGCCCGCCCATAGCGACGGGTGTGTGAACAACTGCAACGTGATGGACGGCCACTGGCTGATGTACAAGCAGCCGCACTTCAGAGGCAAGATGAGACCTGGAGAGTACAGGAACTTTAACATGGGAATGGGTGATATAAGAGGTATGAGGTTCATGAGCATAAGGCGTATCATGGATTCCATGTAGTCAATATTGCTGGATATACCCTTAGCAAGAAAAGCCACTGAATAAAATAATTAAAAACCTTTCCTATTAGTTTGACGGTATCATTTTATTTTTGTATTTTTTTACTTAGCCAGGATACTCCACTCAGTAGCACTTGCCACTTTTTTCCAGGGAGTCCTTGGTTCAATAAAAAAAATTACTATCACTAGAACATGATTCAGTGCTGTGATGCCTGTTTGATCGGTAGATAATCTGATCAATGACAGATATCAAGGCTTTGTTGACATATGACATAACTAGGCAAAACTGCCTTGACTTCAAAAAATCATACTCTACTAATCTACTTTGGCACAGAACAACTTTTACTTTAGGAAATTTTTCTAGGTGTAAGAATCACTTGGGAGGTGAGGGAATCTCTTTCTGATACTTTTTTCAGCCACTAGAGGGTGCTCCTACAGGTTCTATGTGTAATGGTCAGGGAGAAGTAGCTTTTATAGAAAATCATTTAGGCCTTCAGTCAGGTTTGGGGTAAAAAACTATTTAAATACCAGTCAAGCAATTTCAGGAAGCAAAAAAAAATCCTATTTGAAAAACTTTCAAGAGAATTGGAATTGGAATTTCAGTGTACTTCCTGAACTGACTGGAATTTAAATGGAATTCACCCAAAGCCTCCCTTCAGCAGTTGAGTTGATGAGAAATAGCATTTAAAAAAGAGTGCAGATTTTTTTTAAATCACTAAAATAACTTATATTAGGACATGACAGTGTAGCTCTGTAAAGGTGTGACTGTTAATGGATTAATGGTTTGAGTGGGCTCTTTTATATTTGTTTTATACACTTTCAAATAAGTTTGTTTAAATCAATGAAAAATATCCTAATACATTCCCATTGAGTAGGTCTACACACTAAGCCCATTTTTGTGGGCTATTGCCTAGTATCGCCAGACAACAATTTATAGCACTATCGATTTTATTGTGTGTTGTGTAAGATGCATTTACCAACAAACCAACTGTCTTTACTCAATATTTTCATTTACACCAGACATACGTATGTCTCTTTACTCTAGTCTATATATCAACATGTAGGCTATTAACTGAGTGGTGTGAGTTGCATTTAAGGGCAGAAAGAATGAATGAGAGCCCAACGGTGCCCTTGGCGGGTGTATTCTAATGGTAATAGCTGGTGGTTTGTACGACATTAGCAGGACATTATGGAACTACGGGAAATCCAAACACCCGCCTGCCCTCCTCAATTGCGGCTCCGCTAATAGTCAACACAAGCCCATTATCCTCACAAGCCCGCCCAATAAAGGTGAATCAGTGATTTACCATTATAATGGAAAAAGTGTGCGATATTTCAACAAATATTTTCTCAACAACTTATCTGTCTACCCTAAATAGTAATCTACTAGTAATACATTTGCTATTACAAAAGTTATGATATTTTGTCTTATTGGTTCACACTTAATAAAGTTTGACTTAATAAAGTTTGCATCGTTTGTATGCCCTATGCTTAGTGTTAATTAACCTGTAGCCTACTGCTCTCACTCCTGCCGCTGTGAAGGCTCTGGGAAAAAGCTGAATCTTGTCGGCTCCCGATGAAGTCCTGAGGAGCAGATCAGACCATAGTCGGTTTCTACTTTCGAAGTGAATGCGTGTGCTCCTCCCGCCACGACCCGCGGGGGATGAGATGTTAAATCAGATTATTGCACAGTGTGAGAGTGTACAAGGGGGAGGGTGGAGGCGGTGGAGGACGGGGGGCAGGGGGTGGGGGGGTAGGTAGTGCCTAGCATAGAGATGCTTACACACTCCAGCAACACTGTGAGAGAAATGAGGGGAGTCTGGAGTTATGGAATCAAGGAGGACACGATAGAGAAAGTTTCTCCAGTTACTTCGAGGATTTGGGGACGGGTTGATGCCGCTTGGAATTGGACAAACGATTCAGGAGAAAGTGTTGCAACGTTCGAATTCCGAACAGCACCGGTGAAACCGTTTGTTTCTGCGGGCCGGTGTTTGGAAGTAGATAACAGCGGAGTAGGAACAAACATTGTAGCGAGGAATTCCACCGCTCATTCCGGAACCTGAAGACGCACGAAGTTTAGTTCAGAACCTGTTGCTCGCCTGCACTTTGGATACTAATTTACTCACCGTGCACAATCTGCTCGGTTCTAAGAGTGGGCTACAAACACTGGAAAGTTAGATTTGATTTATCTCATTGAGGACTTGTAGCCTAGCCTACTGTCGTGGAGCAAGTTGTAGGCTTTCATCCAGTGCCATGCGAGGCACGGTATTATCAAATATGAGGGAGAGGGAAAGTGTCAGATTCAAGACAACAGCATGATGCCATAAACACAACATAACGTCAATGCCTTCACACGAGTGGAAAAAAAACATCACTCAAGTATTAAATGCAATTTCACACAAACATGAGTTCTTCAGGCGGCAGAAAGATAGATAGGCTATATGTCGATGTGTTTTACTTATTATTTCCATGGAACTGAAATTCGGAAAATAATTTAGGCAATTTCCCCGGAGAGAATTGTTGTTGGGTAGCTTCATCTTGCGACACGTTGTGAAAATAGTTACGATGCTGGTCACTTGGGTCACATATATTCAAGCATTCCTAATACTGCTGGTGAAAGGAGCCGACCAATGGAGCTTCCGGGAGTCCTCTAACTGCGAGCTAAAAAGGAAAGTAAGTTCCCTAATATCACTTCCACTTGAATATAATTAATGTCTTAGCCAAACATCTAAGTAAATTATGTTTTTTTTTTTTTTCAACAACAACAAACAAATCTCCAATGGAACTAGGATTTGAGTATCTGAATGTCCACTGTCCAGTTTTAGCCTATATGATTCTTCTTCATTCACTTTTCATTTACAACATTGGTTGTTCTAGAGGCTAGTTCATTCATCCGCGAGTGTAGCCTAATCCACAAATAGGTGTTACCCTCTAAAAGTAGGTCTAAATGTTCCATATCCTCTAAGAGCGCAGATCATTTCGGAGGTCTATTGTGTGAGTCTAGTGCGCTGTGAAGTGTTCTGTTGATAAGGCATTATCAGTCCATTAACGAGCATCAAATAGCCTATCGCATTTAGAATCAACAGTCTCGGTCAATTTAAATAGCTCCATGTTTACACTGTCTATTTGCGTATGGATGATAACTAGCAGTTATTTCTGGTTACTGCGAGTCTGTTTTTAGACCAGCCAGCTATTAAAATGGTTTGTTTGTCCATGTCTTTGTTTAACATTAGTGACATATTTGGTGAATGACATCACACACACATGCACACAAACACACACACACACACATTGTATATGTGCATTAGGGGACATAAGGTTTTGAACATGAATATGGTTTTTATAGCCTAGTAATAATAACTCATTCACTCTTCTTTTCTTTTCCAATTTTCCGCGTCGGCAGCAAAGTGATCTGAACTCTTTCCTGTGGACCATCAAACGCAACCCTCCGTCCTACTTCTACGGCACCATCCACGTCCCTTACACTCGCGTCTGGGACTTTATCCCGGAGAACTCCAAGAAGGCTTTCCAGGAGAGCAACATGGTGTACTTGGAGCTGGATCTAACTGACCCGTACACCATCTCAGCCCTGACCAGCTGCCAGCTCCTTCCCCAGGGGGGAACCCTACAGGACGTTCTACCCAGGGACATCTACAGACGCCTCAAGAGGCACTTGGAGTACGTCAAGCTCATGATGCCGTCCTGGATGACTCCGGACCAGAGGGGTAAAGGTCTCTACGCTGACTACCTGTTCAATGCGATAGCGGGGAACTGGGAGAGGAAGAGGCCCGTGTGGGTGATGTTGATGGTGAACTCATTGACGGAGGCGGACGTTAAGACAAGGGGGGTCCCGGTGTTGGATCTGTACCTGGCCCAGGAGGCAGAGAGGATGGGGAAGAGGACAGGAGCCGTGGAGAAGGTGGAGGAGCAGTGTCACCCGCTCAACGGACTCAACTTCTCTCAGGTGAGTGTTTGGGGGGGGGTCCATCCCAAATGACACCCTATTTTCTACATAGTGCGCTACTTCTGACCAGTTGTCGATGGTCTCAAATGGCACCCTATTCACTATATAGTGCACTACTTTGAACCAGGGCCCAGTCAAGTGGCACCCTATTCACTATATAGTGCACTACTTTGAACCAGGGCCCAGTCAAATGGCACCCTATTCACTATATAGTGCACTACTTTAGACCAGGACCCATCGTAATCTATTAGGTGTGATTTTAAACATTCACAATTTCGCATAAATCAAGAACAATGTTTGGATTTCAAGAAAGACCTGAAATCAAATCACATTGTATTTGTCAGATGCTTCCTAAACAACAGGTGTAGACTAACAGTGAAACGCCAACTTAGAGGTCATTTCCAACAATGCAGAGTTAAAGATAAATATATAAAATACAAAATAGAAATAGTGACATGAGGAATAAATATACAGATAATAATTAATAACATGGCTATATACAAGGAGTACCAGTACCGAGCCAATGTGCAGGGGTACCAGGTAATAACATGGTTATATACAGGGAGTACCAGGTAATAACATGGCTATATACAGGGAGTACCAGGTAATAACATGGCTATATACAGGAAGTACCAGGTAATAACATGGCTATATACAGGGAGTACCAGGTAATAACATGGCTATATACAGGGAGTACCAGGTAATAACATGGCTATATACAGGGAGTACCAGGTAATAACATGGCTATATACAGGAAGTACCAGGTAATAACATGGCTATATACAGGGAGTACCAGTACTGAGTCAATGTGGAGGGGTACCAGGTAATAACATGGCTATATACAGGGAGTACCAGGTAATAACATGGCTATATACGGGGAGTACCAGGTAATAACATGGCTATATACAGGGAGTACCAGGTAATAACATGGCTATATACAGGGAGTACCAGTACCGAGCCAATGTGGAGGGGTACCAGGTAATAACATGGCTATATACAGGGAGTACCAGTACCGAGTCAATGTGCAGGGGTACCAGGTAATAACATGGCTATATACAGCGAGTACCAGTACCGAGCCAATGTGCAGGGGTACCAGGTAATAACATGGCTATATACAGCGAGTACCAGTACCGAGCCAATGTGCAGGTGTACCAGGTAATTGAGGTAGCTACGGTTCCTTCAGAAAGTATTCATACCCGTTGACTTATTCCACATTTTGTTGGATTAAATGGATTACATTTTTTTTTCTCTCACACATCTACACACCCATAATGACAAAGTGAAAACATGTTTTTAGAAATGTTTGCACATTTCTTGACAATGAAATACAGAAATATCTAATTTACGTAAGTTTTAACACCCCTGAGTCAAAACTTTTTTTTTGGGGGGGGGGTATATCAGCTTAATATTACAGTGGCTTCCATCAAAGTGATTGTCTGCATCAATGTGATTTTCTGGATTTTTTTTTTCTCATTTTGTCTGTCATAGTTGACGTGTACCTATGATGAAAATTACAGGCCTCTCTCATCTTTTTAAGTGGGAGAACTTGCACAATTGGTGGCTGACTAAATACTTTTTTCCCCCACTGTACATATATATACATATCCTTTAAAAAAATATATTTCCCTTTATTACTTTCCAGGATGGATAAATTGTTCTACCTGGATCTTTAGCTAATATTATTATTATTATTATTATTATTATTATTATTATTATTATTATTATTATTATTATTATTATTATTATGTACATTTCTCTAAAACATGTTACCATTCTGTTCATGGTCTGTCAGGAATCCTCTGTCTAATAACTGTTTTCATATTTCCTTGTAACACAAGGTTGTGAGTAGAGATGCAGTTTGGTGGTAGCGGATGGATGTTTTTTTAATCGTTATAAAATCAGAGGATATTTTCGTATCTTGATCTGACGCTTACAGAAAATGACGTAAGCCTTGCAGTAAGTGACTGTCAGGACATGTATAGTAACAGAGAGGGATATGGTATATCACGAGTTAGGGGGCGGCAGGTAGCTTAGTGGTTAAGAGCGTTGTGCCGGTAACCGAAAGGTCGCTGGTTCTAATCCCCAAGCCGACTAGGTGAAAAATCTGTCGATGTGCCCTTGAGCAAGGCACTTAACCCTAATTGCTCCTGTAAGTCGCTCTGGATAAGAGCATCTGCTAAAAATATATATATACATTTTTTAAATATATATAAAGTATACATTATTTTCCACTAACCCTACCACCCCTCCCCTAATTTGAGTAAACTAATGAACAACAACACTTAGGCGTCTACCTCCAGCTTATACATACTATATACATTTTACGGACACAGTATATTTTACATTAGTTATCGTTTGTTTGTTTTTAGTCCTACCCTTCAGCTCCACTCAACCCCTCCCATCTATCTCTTAACACCATCCAGTTTTGATTTCTATTTGCCATATATTTTTCAAATGTGCAGTGAGGATTCACAAAAGTTCTAAACCTTTCCATTCTCATAGTTTCTACAGATTGTAAATGAAAGATAAAATTTTTGCTAAGAGTATTATTATATTACTAATCGATTGACTATAACTTTTCAAATCACCCAGCGGTGCTATTTGCAGAGTTAGCTCCAGGTAAATGTTGCAATTCTTCAGCCATTCCTGAACCTGTGACCAAAAACAAGCTACATATGGACAGTACCAAAACAAATGATCTAATGATTCTGTCTCTTCGCAGCAAAATCTGCAGAGCTGGGATGGTTGTATCCCCCATACAGTGCATTAGGAAATTATTTCCCCCCCACATTTTGTTACGTTACAACCTTATTCTAAAATTGATTAAATTGTTTTTTCCCCTCATCAATCTACACAAAATACCCCATAATAACAAAACAAAAACAGTTTCTTATACATTTTTGCAAATGTATATTTAAAAGAAAGTATTCAGGCCTTTTCTCAGTACTTTGTTGAAGCACCTTTGGCAGCGATTACAGCCTTGAGTCGTCTTGGGTATGACGCTACAAGCATTGCACACCTGTATTTGGGGAGTTTCTCCCATTCTTGAGATCCTCTCAAGCTCTGTCAGGTTGGATGGGGAGCATCGCTGCACAGCTATTTTCAGGTCTCTCCAGAGATGTTCGATCGGGTTCAAGTCCGGGCTCTGGCTGTGCCACTCAAGGACATTCAGAGACTTGTCCCGAAGCTACTCCTGCGTTGTCTTGGCTGTGTGCTTAGGGTCGTTGTCCTGTTGGAATGTGAACCTTCGCTTCAGTCTGAGGTCCTGAGCACTCTGGAGCAGGTTTTCATCAAGGATATCGCTGTACTTTGCTCCGTTCATATTTTGCTCGATCCTGACTAGTCTCCCAGTCCCTGCTGCTGAAAAACAACCCCACAGCATGATGCTGCCACCACCATGCTTCACCGTAGGGATGGTGCCAGGTTTCCTCCAGACGTGAAGCTTGGCATTCAGGCCAAAGAGTTCAATCTTGGATTCATCAGACCAGATAATCTTGTTTCTCATGGTCTGAGAGTCCTTTAGGTGCTTTTTGGCAAGGTCCAAGCGGGCTGTCATGTGCCTTTTACTGAGGAGTGGCTTCTGTCTGGCCACTCTACCATAAAGGCCTGATTGGTGGAGTGCTGCAGAGATGGTTGTCCTTCTGGAAGGTTCTCCCATCTCCATAGAAGAACTCTGGAGCTCTGTCAGAGTGACCATCGGGTTCTTGGTCACCTCCCTGACCAAGTCCCTTCTCCCCCGATTGCTCAGTTTGGCCGGGCGGCCAGCTCTAGAGAGAGTCTTGGTGGTTCCAAACTTGTTCCATTTAAGAATGATGGAGGTCACTGTGTTCTTGGGGACCTTCAATGCTGCAGATAATTGAATTTACCACAGGTGGACTCCAATCAAGTTGTAGAAACATCTCAAGGATGATCAAAGGAACCAGGATGCACCTAATCTCAATTTCGAGTCTCATAGCAAAGGGTCTGAATACTTATGTAAATAAGGTGTCTCTGTTTTTTATTTTGAATACATTTTGCAAACAAATCTAAAAACATGTTTTCACTTTGTCATTATGGGGTGTTGTGTGTAGATTGATGAGGAAAACGTTTTATTTAATCAATTTTAGAATAAGGCTGTAACGTAACAAAATGTGGAAAAAGGGAAGGGGTCTGAATACTTTCCGAATGCACTGTATATATAACATTCAATTGGTTGCAATGATTTTGTATCATCATTTAAATGGAAAAACTCAAAGTTTTGAATCCGGCGTCATTTTGTGTATCAGTTCATAAATCATGTGCCATGGAATCGGTTTATCGAAAATCTCTTCCCAACAATTTTTCAATCTATACAGCACAGCGGTCAAGTTTTTGGTCCTTAAATGAAACCGGTATAGTTTTTTATTTAACACAATTTTCTTTAACCAATTTTGGTCTTTAATGCAAGGCCGACAGACAAGTTCCTTACTTTCTTCCCGTTCCACTCTTCCATTTTTGCAGTAAAGCTGCAATTAGTTGGTTGTAATTTTGGGTAGAGCAGACATATCCATATATTTTTATTAGCTGTATGTGTGACATAACTCCACCAGTCCTATTTATGATATAATTTACAAAGATTATACTGGTGTAATATATTTTTCTTTATCAATTAGTATATTTGAGTTTAACCCTAATATTTTTTGTAATATTTGTTCTGTCTTTTCCGGTGGAAACTGAAATTGCAACCAACTTTCTATGGCTTGTTTTAAAAATAGCTATATTTTTTAGATTATTTCATTTTTTAAATTACCGATTGTGAGAGGTTGTAATCTGAATAAAGGGAAAAAGGCCATTCTTGAACATAGGGTGAGACATTCTTACTAATCTACTAGAGAACCAGTTTGGATTTACAGTGGGGAGAACAAGTATTTGATACACATACGATTTTGCAGGTTTTCCTACTTACAAAGCATGTAGAGGTACACTTCAACTGTGAGAGACGGAATCTAAAACAAAAATCCAGAAAATCACATTGTATGATTTTTAAGTAATTAATTTGCATTTTATTGCATGACAAAAGTATTTGATACATCAGAAAAGTAGAACTTAATATTTGGTACAGAAACCTTTGTTTGCAATTACAGAGATCATACGTTTCCTGTAGGTCTTGACCAGGTTTGCAAACACTGCAGCAGGGATTTTGGCCCACTCCTCCATACAGACCTTCTCCAGATCCTTCAGGTTTCGGGGCTGTCGCTGGGCAATACGGACATTCAACTCCCTCCAAAGATTTTCTATTGGGTTCAGGTCTGGAGACTGGCTAGGCCACTCCAGGACCTTGAGATGCTTCTTACGGAGCCACTCCTTAGTTGCCCTGGCTGTGTGTTTCGGGTCATTGTCATGCTGGAAGACCCTGCCACGACCCATCTTCAATGCTCTTACTGAGGGAAGGAGGTTGTTGGCCAAGATCTCGCAATACATGGCCCCATCCATCCTCCCCTCAATATGGTGCAGTCGTCCTATCCCCTTTGCAGAAAAGCATCCCCAAAGAATGATGTTTCCACCTCCATGCTTCACGGTTGGGATGGTGTTCTTGGGGTTGTACTCATCCTTCTTCTTCCTCCAAACACGGCGAGTGGAGTTTAGACCAAAAAGCTATATTTTTGTCTCATCAGACCACATGACCTTCTCCCATTCCTCCTCTGGATCATCCAGATGGTCATTGGCAAACTTCAGATGGGCCTGGACATGCGCTGGCTTGAGCAGGGGGACCTTGCGTGCGCTGCATGATTTTAATCCATGACGGCGTAGTGTGTTACTAATGGTTTTCTTTGAGACTGTGGTCCCAGCTCTCTTCAGGTCATTGACCAGGTCCTGCCGTGTAGTTCTGGGCTGATCCCTCACCTTCCTCATGATCATTGATGCCCCACGAGGTGAAATCTTGCATGGAGCCCCAGACCGAGGGTGATTGACCGTCATCTTGAACTTCTTCCATTTTCTAATAATTGCGCCAACAGTTGTTGCCTTCTCACCAAGCTGCTTGCCTATTGTCCTGTAGCCCATCCCAGCCTTGTGCAGGTCTACAATGTTATCCCTGATGTCCTTACACAGCTCTCTGGTCTTGGCCATTGTGGAGAGGTTGGAGTCTGTTTGATTGAGTGTGTGGACAGGTGTCTTTTATACAGGTAACGAGTTCAAACAGGTGCAGTTAATACAGGTAATGAGTGGAGAACAGGAGGGCTTCTTAAAGAAAAACTAACAGGTCTGTGAGAGCCAGAATTCTTACTGGTTGGTAGGTGATCAAATACTTATGTCATGCAATAAAATGCAAATTAATTACTTAAAAATCATACAATGTGATTTTCTGGATTGTTGTTTTAGATTCCTTCTCTCACAGTTGAAGTGTACCTATGATAAAAAGTGCAGACCTCTAAATGCTTTGTAAGTAGGAAAACCTTCAAAATCAGCAGTGTATCAAATATTTGTTCTCCCCACTGTAAGTATATTTTTTGTATGACAGAAGCCTTTAGTGAGAGGTCTAATGCTTTAATATTTAATCATTTCTGCCCTCCAAATTCATATTCATTATATAAATAGGCCCGTTTAATTTTATCTGGCTTGCCGTTCCAAACAAAATGGAATATTTTTTTGCTCATATAATTAAAAAAACACATTGCTAGGTGTAGGCAAAGCCATAAGCAAATAGGTAAACTAAATCAGGGTGATTTTTCCACAAATATACAGGTATCTTCCTTTCCATGGTAGCAAGATCTTATCTATTTTTGCTAACTTTATATATTAAATGTGTTGTAGTGAGATCATTTCTTTCTTTCGAGATATGAATACCAAGTATATCCACATCAGACCATTTTATATGTAAAACTATACAGTAATGTAAACATTGTATTTTCTAGTGATCCAATACATAATATAGTACACTTATCATAATTTGGTTGTAATCCAGAGAGGTTAGAAAAATGATCTAGATCCTCTATGATGCTGTGGAGGGATCGAAATTGTGGATTTAAAAGAAAACATGAATCATCAGTGTACAATGACACCTTTGTTTTTAAGCCCTGGATTTCTAGCCCCTTGGTATTATTGTTGGATCTGATTTTAATTGCTAACATTTTGATGACCATAATAAATAGATATGCCGATAGTGGACAACCTTGTTTTACTCCTCTTGACAATTTAATACTTTCTGAGAAGTAACCATTATCTACTATTTTACATACCTTTAACCCATTGTATAAGAGATTCTCAAAAATTGAAATATTCCAGGCATTTATATATCAATTCCAGCCGTACTTTATCAACAGCCTTTTCAAAGTCTGCTATGAATAGCAGGCCTGGTTTCCCAGATTTTTCATAATGTTCTATTGTTTCCAGTACTTGTCTTATATTATCTCCAATGTATTGTCCATGTAAAAATCCTGTCTGATTAGGATTAATAATATCCGACAATACCTTTTTAATTCTATGCGCTATTGATTTTGCTAGAATTTTTTGCATCACAACACTGAAGTGTAAGGGCACCAATTTTTCTTCAATGGACTTGACCTTTATATTTACCACCTGAGTCAATACTTTGTAGAAGCACCTTTGGCTGCGATTACAGCTTTAAGTCATCTTGGGTATATTTGTATCAGCTTTGCACATCTGGATTTTGGTATTTTCTCCCATTATTCCTTGCAGATTTTCTCAAACTCTGTTAAGTTAGATGGGGAGCAGTGGTGAACAGCAATCTTTAAGTATTTCCACAGATTTTCAATGGGATTAAAGTCTTGGATTTGGCTGGGCCACTCAAAGACTTTCACATTCTTGTTCTGAAGCCATTCCAGCGTTGCTTTGGCAGTATGCTTGGGGTCATTGTCCTGTTGGAACGTAAATCTTCACCCCAGTCTAAGGTCGTTTGCACTCTGAAGCAGGTTGCTTGACTCGAAGCAAGCATAGAAGGGATTTAGCTCGTCTGATAGGCTTGCATCGCTTGGCAGCTCATGGCTGGGTTTCCTTTTGTAATCTGTAATAGTTTGCAGGCCCTGCCACATCCGTCGAGCACCAGAGCCGGCGTAGTAGGATTCAATCTTAGTCCTGTTTTGATGCTTTGCCTGTTTGATGGCTCGGATTTCTTATAAGCATATGGATTAGTGTCCTGCTCCTTGAAAGCGGCAGCTCTAGCCTTTAGCTCAGTGTGGATTTTGCCTGTAATTCATGGCTTCTGGTTGGGTATGTACGTACGATCACTGTGGGAAGGACGTCGTCGATTTTTCTTATTCATGAAGCCGGTGACTGATGTGATAAAACTCCTCAATGTTGTCGGACGAATCCAGGAACATATTCCAGTCTGTGCTAGCGAAACATTCCTGTAGCTTAGCATCCGCTTCATTGGACCACTACTGTATCGAGCGCATCACTGGTACACTGGTACACATGAAGCCCCTAAATAAGATCTGGTGCAACCAATTACCTTCAGAAGTCACATAATTAGTTAAATAAAGTCCACCTGTGTGCAATCTAAGTGTCACATGATCTGTCACATGATCTCAGTATATACAGTGAGGGAAAAAGTATTTGATTCCCTGCTGATTTTGTACGTTTGCCCACTGACAAAGAAATGATCAGTCTATAATTTAAATGGTAGGTTAATTCGAACAGTGAGAGACAGAATAACAACAGAAAAATCCAGAAAAACGCATGCCTAAAATGTTATAAATTGATTTGCATTTTAATGAGGGAAATAAGTATTTGACCCCCTCTCAATCAGAAAGATTTCTGGCTCCCAGGTGTCTTTTATACAGGTAACGAGCTGAGATTAGGAGCACACTCTTAAAGGGAGTGCTCCTAATCTCAGTTTGTTACCTGTATAAAAGACACCTGTCCACAGAAGCAATCAATCATTCAGATTCCAAGACCAAAGATTCCAAGACCAAAGAGCTCTCCAAGGATGTCAGGGACAAGATTGTAGACCTACACAAGGCTGGAATGGGCTACAAGACCATCACCAAGCAGCTTGGTGAGAAGGTGACAACAATTGGTGCGATTATTTGCAAATGGAAGAAACACAAAATAACTGTCCATCTCCCTCGGCCTGGGGCTCCATGCAAGATCTCACCTCGTGGAATTGCAATGATCATGGGAACGGTGAGGAATCAGCCCAGAACTACACGGGATAATCTTGTCAATGATCTCAAGGCAGCTGGGACCATAGTCACCAAGAAAGCAATTGGTAACACTCTACGCCGTGAATGACTGATATCCTGCAGCGCCCGCAAGGTCCCCATGCTCAAGAAAGCACATATACAGGGCCATCTGAAGTTTGCCAATGAACATCTGAATGATTCAGAGGAGAACTGGGTGAAAGTGTTGTGGTCAGATGAGACCAAAATGGAGCTCTTTGGCATCAACTCAACTCGCCGTGTTTGGAGGAGGAGGAATGCTGCCTATGACCCCAAGGACACCATCCCCACCGTCAAACATGGAGTTGGAAACATTATGCTTTGGGGGAATTTTTCTGCTAAGGGGACAGGACAACTTCACCGCATCAAAGGGACGATGGGCGGGGCCATGTACCGTCAAATCTTGGGTGAGAACCTCCTTCCCTCAGCCAGGGCATTGAAAATGGGTCGTGGATGGGTATTCTAGCATGACAATTACCCAAAACACACGGCCAAGGCAACAAAGGAGTGGATCAAGAAGAAGCACATTAAGGTCCTGGAGTGGCCTAACCAGTCTCCAGACCTTAATCCCATAGAAAATCTGTGGAGGGAGCTGAAGTTTCACGTTGCCAAACGTCAGCCTCGAAACCTTAATGACGTCAGCCTCGAAACCTTAATGACAAACCTGGTGGCCAACTACAAGAAACGTCTGACCTCTGTGATTGCCAACAAGGGTTTTGCCACCAAGTACTAAGTAATGTTTTGCAGAGGGGTCAAATACTTATTTCCCTCATTAAAATGCAAATCAATTTATAACATTTTTGACATGCGTTTTTCTGGATTTTTTTGTTGTTATTCTGTCTCTCACTGTTCAAATAAACCTACCATTAAAATTATAGACTGATCATTTCTTTGTCAGTGGGCAAACGTACAAAATCAGCAGGGGATCAAATACTTTTTCCCCTCACTGTATACACCTGTTCTGAAAGGTCCCAGAGTCTGCAACACCACAAAGCAAGGGGCACCATGAAGACCAAGGAGCTCTCCAAACAGTTTAGGGACAAAGTTGTGGAGAAGTACAGATCAGGGTTTGGTTTAAAAAAAATCTGTTATTAAAAAATGGAAAGAATATGTCACCACAACAAACCTGCCAAGAGAGGGCCGCCAACCAAAACTCACGGACCAGGCAAGGAGGGCATTAATCAGAGAGGCAACAAAGAGACCAAAGATAACCCTGAAGGAGCTGCAAAGCTCCACAGCGGAGATTGGAGTATCTGTCCATAGGACCACTTTAAGCCGTACACTCCACTGAGCTAGGCTTTACGGAAGAGTTGCCAGAAGAAAGCCATTGCTTAAAGAAAAAAATAAGCAAACACGTTTGGTGTTCGACAAAACATTTACATTTTTTACATTTTAGTCATTTAGCAGACGCTCTTAACCAGAGCGACTTACAGGAGCAATTAGGGTTAAGTGCCTTGCTCAAGGGCACATTAACGTCATTTAGCAGACGCTCTTAGCCAGAGCGACTCACAAATTGGTGCGTTCACCCTATAGCCAGTGGGATAACCATGTGGGAGACTCCCCAAACATATGGAAGAAGGTACTCTGGTCAGATGAGACTAAAATTGAGCTCTTTGGCCATCAAGGAAAACACTATGTCTGGCGCAAACCCAACACCTATCATCACCCCGAGAACACCATCCCCACAGTGAAGCATGGTGGTGGCAGCATCATGCTGTGGGGATGTTTTCCATCGGCAGGGACTGGAAAACTGGTCAGAATTGAAGAAATGATGGATGGTGCTAAATACTGGGAAATTCTTGAGGGAAACCTGTTTCAGTCTCCCAGAGATTTGAGACTGGGACAGAGGTTCACCTTCCAGCAGGACAATGACTCTAAGCATACTGCTAAAGCAACACTCAAGTGGTTTAAGGGGAAACATTTAAATGTCTTGAAATGGCCTAGTCAAAGCCCAGACCTCAATCCAATTGAGAATCTGTGGTATGACTTAAAGATTGCTGTACACCAGCGGAACCCATCCCAGTGGCTAGATGTGCCAAGCTTATAGAGACATACCTCAAGAGACTTACATTTACATTTTAGTCATTTAGCAGACTTGCAGCTGTAATTGCTGCAAAAGGTGGCTCTACAACGTATTGACTTTGGGGGGGGTGAATAGTTATGCACTCTCAAGTTTTCTGTTTTTTTGTCTTATTTCTTGTTTGTTTCACAAGAAAAAATATTTTGCATCTTCAAAGTGGTAGGCATGTTGTGTAAATCAAATGATACAAACCCCCCCAAAAATCCATTTTAATTCCAGGTTGTAAGGCAACAAAATGCCAAGGGGGGTGAATACTTTTGCAAGCCACGTCAGCAGATGTCACAAAGTGCTGTACAAAAACCCATCCTAAAACACCAAACAGCAAGCAATGCAGATGTAGAAGCACGGTGGCTAGGAAAAACTGCATAGAAAGGCAGGAAACCTAGGAAGAAACCTAGAGAGGAACCAGGCTCTGAGGGGTGGCCAGTCCTCTTCTGGCTGTACTGGGTAGAGAGGAACCAGGCTCTGAGGGGTGGCCAGTCCTCTTCTGGCTGTACTGGGTAGAGAGGAACCAGGCTCTGAGGGGTGGCCAGTCCTCTTCTGGCTGTACTGGGTAGAGAGGAACCAGGCTCTGAGGGGTGGCCAGTCCTCTTCTGGCTGTACTGGGTAGAGAGGAACCAGGCTCTGAGGGGTGGCCAGTCCTCTTCTGGCTGTACTGGGTAGAGAGGAACCAGGCTCTGAGGGGTGGCCAGTCCTCTTCTGGCTGTACTGGGTAGAGAGGAACCAGGCTCTGAGGGGTGGCCAGTCCTCTTCTGGCTGTGTATTTGACACTGGACCAGTGTTAAATGTAACACTCTCAGTGTTTATCTAACACTGGAGAATTTGCTGGGTGGGTGTGGTCAGACAGCGGCAGCTGAACAAATATTATTCTATTAGCTGTGTCTTATTAACACAAAAATGTAACCTAATGGTTTTCGTCTGCATTTAGCTCAAAACCACCTTGTTCCACCCTGGGTCTCCTTCAGAGCAGATTTGACACCCGCAATTATATGTGTCCTTCAAACCACACCGTCGCTACGAAATCATGTGAAGTATTGTGGATTTTCTTCTAATACTCCTTCGGAAACTTAAAGGATTACACATGGCAATTTACCTTAACACCCAGAAGCCGATGCACTGTTTTTTAAAGCAGGCCTGCCCTTGCTGAAGCTCTGGTCCCAGAATCCTCTGCCGATTTGTTTTTCCATCCTTTAATAATAGTAATAGTTGTAATGACATTAAATAAATGTACAAAAATGCAGGTCTATAAAAGGCAGAATAAAGAGGTTATATACTCACAGTAAAAATGTAATAAAATGAATTCAACAGCCATGATTTATAGTAGTTCATCCAGGTTATAGGACACATTTCAGTTGGTATTAGATATAGTAGAGACAGCAGCAGATCTTTCAGTTGGTATTAGATATAGTAGACAGCAAAAGGTCTTTGTTTTGAGCCGTTAATGGGGCTGATATGATGAAGTAATGAGAGATATTATCTCACTGATGTGATTTCTCACAGTAACTCTGGGAACAGGTATCACAGCCTGCCTGTCCAGCATGCCTGGTTTGATCCCAACCTTATCCCCATCGGTTGACGAGTGAGTTGAATTCTGTTCTGCCTGTCTTGGACATTAAGTGTTTTGGGTTCCGATATAAAACAATAGGCATTATGAAGACCAGTTCCATTAATCCATTCACACTGGAGCATTCCATTAATCCATTCACACTGGAGCGTTCCATTAATCCATTCACACTGGAGCCTTCCATTAATCCATTCACACTGGAGCATTCCATTAATCCATTCACACTGGAGCCTTCCATTAATCCATTCACACTGGAGCATTCCATTAATCCATTCACACTGGAGCATTCCATTAATCCATTCACACTGGAGCCTATGGAACATTCCACACCTGAGTGGAATCCCTTGCTAAAAAAACACAGGAAAAAGTCATGCGAAAAAAAAAGAGGTGGTTTTCGGACAGTTGTTTTTGTTGTTATAATTTTCACGAGTCAGAGGAGTTTTTTTGGACAGGTGTGGAGTTTTACATGTATGCAGGGTGCTATGTTGCTGGAATGAATATGCCAAAACTTGCAACTGGAAAAAAGGCATCCATTTACAATTCATTTGTTCTCCCATTTGAAAATTATTTCCCTGCCATATTTTATTTTGCTATCAATACTAGAGGATTGCACCATATGCCGTGCCTTCGGAAAGTATTCAGACCCCTTGACTTTTTCCACATTTTGTTAGGTTACAGACTCATTCTAAAATTGATTAAATTGTTTTTTTCCCTCATCAATCTACACACAACATCCCATAATGACAAAGCAAAAACAACTATTTAGACATTTGCATAAGCATTCAGACCCTTTACTCAGTACTTTGTTGAAGCACCTTTGGCAGCGATTACAGCCTCGAGTCTTCTTGGGTATAATAATAATAATAATAATATGCCATTTAGCAGACGCTTTTATCCAAAGCAACTTACAGTCATGACGCTACAAGCTTGGCACACCTGTATCTGGGGAGTTTCTCCCATTCTTCTCTGCAGATCCTCTCAAGCTCTGTCAGGTTGGATGGGGAGCGTCGCTGCACAGCTATTTTCAGGTCTCTCCAGAGATGTTCGATCGGGTTCAAGTCAGGGCTCTGGCTGGGCCACTCAAGGACATTCAGAGACTTGTCCCGAAGCCGCTCCTGCGTTGTCTTGGCTGTCTGCTTAGGGTCGTTGTCCTGTTCGAAGGTGAACCTTCACCCCAGTCTGAGGTCCTGAGCGCTCCGGAGCAGGTTTTCATCAAGGATCTCTCTGTACTTTGCTCCGTTCATCTTTGCCTTGATCCTGACTAGTCTCCCAGTCCCTTATAAAATGGGAACAACGCCTATCCAGCACGCAGGGCATTTGAATCGGGTGCACCTACCGCCAACAACGAGAAAAAAAAATGGGAACGCAAGGTTTTATCATTGGGGTTTTTACAGAAATGTTTGGCGATCGACTAGAAATGCCTTGGAGATCGACCAGTTGGTGACCACTGACATATAAGATCATAGGAAATCCCAGGACACAGTGTCTATAATACTATAATAAGCTCACATAGCTGTCAGTGACTAGCTGGATATTCATTTCCCAACTAGTTCTGTACGTACAGTATTCAATTTGATCAGATTCTTCTGGCTTCTTCCTTGCTGAGCCGCCTTTCTGGTTATGTCGACACAGGACTCATTTTACTGTGGATATAGATACTTTTGTACCTGTTTCCTCCAACATCTTCACAGGGTCCTTTGCTGTTGTTCTGGGATTGATTGGCACTTTTCGCACCAAAGTACGTTCATCTCTAGGAGACAGAACGTGTCTCCTTCCTGAGCGGTATGACGGCTGCGTGGTCCCATGGTGTTTATACTTGCGTACTATTGTTTGTACAGATGAACATGGTACCTTCAGGTGTTTGGAAATTGCTCCCAAGGATGAACCAGACTTGTGGAGGTCTACAATTTTTGCTCTGAAGTCTTGGCTGATTTCTTTTGATTTTCCTATGATGTCAAGCAAAGAGGCACTGAGTTTGAAGGTAGGCCTTGAAATACATCCACAGCTACACCTCCAATTGACTCAAATGATGTCAATTAGCCTATCAGAAGCTTCTAAAGCCATGAAATAATTTTCTGGAATTTTCCAAGCTGTTTAAAGGCACAGTCAACTTAGTGTATGTAAACTTCTGACCCACTGGAATTGTGATACAGTGAATTATAAGTGAAATAATCTGTCTGTAAACAATTGTTGGAAAAATTACTTGTGTCATGCACAAAGTAGATGTCCTAACCGACTTGCCAAAACTATAGTTTGTTAACAAGAAATGTGTGGAGTGGTTGAAAAACGAGTTTTAATGACTCCAACCTAAGTGTACGTAAACTTCCGACTTCAACTGTAGCTAGTGTGTCAGAAGAGGCTTTATATGTGTTTGGTTTTAAACAGGTGGATAGCTAAGGCTTGGCTGATCTGAAGGTTGAAAACGTATCCTAAACACAGGCTCTACTGCCCTACGGCCTTTCAGCTTGTTGAGCTCAGATCAGGACTTAATAGCTTGGCTCTGGTTTAACGCCAGCTCATGAAAAGCAGCATGGGGAAGCTGGCTCAGCGCCTACGCTACTGCTGTACTGCAGAGAGCAGGCATTGATCAACATCAGTCCTGTTAGACAGGGAGAGAGGGAGAGAGAGGGGGAAGAGAGAGGGAGAGAGAGAGAGAGAGAGAGGGGGAAGAGAGAGGGAGAGAGAGAGAGAGAGAGAGAGAGAGAGAGAGAGAGAGATAGTAGGAGAGTGAGAGAGACAAGTCCTAGTGGCTTTCGCATGAGCGAGCTGTTGACGTGTTGTTCGCTCCCAGCGCGCGAGTCGCGAGTACAGAGCGAGAGGACTAGTAGTAGGGATTTTTGGCAATGTTAACACACGTTTCCCATGCCAATAAAGCCCTTAAAATTGAAATGGAAAGCAGAGAGATAGTACATTTACGTCATTTAGCAGACGCTCTTATCCAGAGCGACTTACAGTTAGTGAATACATATTTTTTTTTTTATACTGGCCCCCCGTGGGAATCGAACCCACAACCCTGGCGTTGCAAACGCCATGCTCTATCAACTGAGCTACATCCCGGCCGGCCATTCCCTCCCCTACCCTGGACGACGCTGGGCCAATTGTGCGCCGCCCATGAGTCTCCCGGTCGCGGCCGGCTGCGACAGAGCCTGGATTCGAACCAGGATCTCTAGTGACACAGTTAGCACTGCGATGCAGTGCCTTAGACCACTGCGCCACTCAGGAGTACAGAGAGTGAGAGAGAGGAAGAGAGAGAGAGGAGAGAGAGAGAGAGACAGAGAGAGAAGCAGAAGAGAGAGGAGAGAGAGATAAGAGAGAGAGCAGAGAGAGAGAGAGAGGAGAGAAGAGAGAGAGAGAGGAGAGAGAGGGAGAGAGGAGAGAGGAGAGAGAGAGAGAGAGAGAGAGATAGAGAGAGAGAGAGAGAGAGAGAGAAAGAAAGCATACAACATATATTTTCAACATATATATCAACGAATTGGCGAGGGCACTAGAACAGTCTGCAGCACCCGGCCTCACCTTAGTAGAATCTGAAGTCAAATGTCTACTGTTTGCTGATGATCTGGTGCTTCTGTCACCAACCAAGGAGGGCCTACAGCAGCACCTAGATCTTCTGCACAGATTCTGTCAGACCTGGGCCCTGACAGTAAATCTCAGTAAGACAAAAATAATGGTGTTCAAAAAAAGGTCCAGTTGCCAGGACCACAAATACAAATTCCATCTAGACACGTTTGCCCTAGAGCACACAAAAAAATATACATACCTCGGCCTAAACATCAGCGCCACAGGTAACTTCCACAAAGCTGTGAACGATCTGAGAGACAAGGCAAGAAGTGCCTTCTATGCCATCAAAAGGAACATAAAATTCGACATACCAATTAGGATCTGGCTAAAAATACTTGAATCAGTTATAGAACCCATTGTCCTTTATGGTTGTAAGGTCTGGGGTCCGCTCACTAACCAAGAATTCACAAAATGGCACAAACACCAAATTGAGACTCTGCATGCAGAATTCTGCAAAACATATCCTTAAAACACCAAATAATGCATGCACAGCAGAATTAGGACGATACCCGCTAATTATCAAAATCGAGATAAGAGCCGATAAATTCAACAACCACCTAAAAGGAAGTGATTCCCAAACCTTCCATAACAAAGCCATCACCTACAGAGAGATGAACCTGGAGAAGAGTCCCCTAAGTAAGCTTGTCCTGGGGCTCTGTTCACAAACACAAACAGACCCCACAGAACCCCAGGACAGCAACACAATTAGACCCAACCAAATCATGAGAAAACAATAAGAGAATTACTTGACACATTGGAAAGAATAAAAAAAACAAAAAAAACAGAGCAAACTGGATGCTATTTGGCCCTAAACAGAGAGTACACAGTGGCAGAATACCTGACCACTGTGACTGACCCAAACTTAAGGAAAGCGTATCCATACAGACTTAGTGAGTATAGTGAAACTGAGCTGCACTTCCTAACTTCCTGCCAAATATATGACCATATTAGAGACACATATTTCCCTCAGATACACAGACCCACAAAGAATTCAAAAGCAAATCCAATTTTGATAAACTCCCATATCTATTGGGTGAAATACCACAGTGTGCCATCACAGCAGCAAGATTTGTGACCTGTTGCTACAAGAAAAGGGCAACCAGTGAAGAACAAACACCATTGTAAATACAACCCATATTTATGTTGATTTATTTTCCCATTTGTACTTTAACTATTTGCACATTGTTACAACACTGTATATAGACATAATTGACATTTGAAATGTCTTTATTCTTTTGGAACTTCTGAGTGTAATGTTTATTGTTTATTTCACTTTTGTTTACTATCTACTTCACTTGCTTTGGCAATGTTAACATATGTTTCCCATGCCAATAAAGCTCTTTAAGAGAGAAGGAAAGAGAGATGAGAGAGAGTAGAGAGAGATAGAGAGAGAGGAGAGAGAGAGAGAGAGAGATGGTAGAGAGAGAAGAGCGAAGAGAAGTGGAAGAGAGTAGACGAGCTCTGAGATAAATCGAGCTACTAGAGCATGCGAGCTCTCTGGCGAGAGATCGCGATCGCGCGCTATAGCTCTCTATCTCCTCGCTCTCTCTCTCGCCTCTCTCTCTTGATCTCTCTAGTGAGATCTAATCCTCGGCTCTCTCCTATCTCTCTCTCTCCTTTCCGCTCTCTCTCTCTCTGCTCTCTGCTCTCTCGCTCGCTCTTTTCTTTCCCTCCGGATAGTTAGACGTTAGCCAGGAGAGATGAGAGAGAGGAAATGAACATGTTAAAGTGTTAATACCTGCAGGACACTGGGACATAGACTAATAGAATTACAATACATGCTTACTTACTTAGGCCTGTCCAGGTGCTGGGAAGTCAAGCCATGTTGCTCAGCAAAGTGTGAGAAAAGGTCAGTGGGGAAAAGCCTACATTATACAGGCGTCTTTTTGATTCAATAAAAGCAACAGTCACCTAAATATTGCATGTAATTGATATAACTAGCTGCAGTAACTAGATCAAACATCTGATTTCTGATAGATGAAAGTACAGGGGATGTGCACCATAGTGCACAACGGGGCCTAGGTTACCACTTGAGACCGAGCCAATGATTCTAATGACGCTGAGCTAAATAGCAACACTAAAGAGTAGAAATGCAGATGTTGTTATAGATATATCGCTACCTTGATTCCTTTCAACTATAATACACATTAGGAAAATAGTTTTTAGCGTTCAGTGGTCCTGCGTTTGATGATTTCATCAGTTTAAAATTAACTGTTGAAGTTCCTTTTTTATCATTATCATTTTTTTTGTTGGTATATTTTAAGTTATAACCTCTATGAATATCTTCTCAATCAGGTTTAACTTCAATATTTGTTAGTCAGTATTGATTCATGTTGTATTTTCTAGATGGTGCATGTGTTCAACTTAACAGCTAATGCTGTAAATACAACCTAATGTCTTTACAGCCCATCATTCACTATATTGTTCTAGAGTTGTGCTGCTGGGTGATCTTAACACTCCATCCTCAGTGATCTATAGTCTTATAGCCTCCATTAGCCATTATCAGCCATTATCAGCCATTATCAGCCATAATCAGCCATTATCAGCCATAATCAGCCATTATCAGCCATTATCAGCCATTATCAGCCATAATCAGCCATTATCAGCCATTATCAGCCATAATCAGCCATAATCAGCCATTATCAGCCATAATCAGCCATTATCAGCCATAATCGGCCATAATCAGCCATTATCGGCCATTATCAGCAATTATCAGCCATTATCAGCCATAATCAGCCATTATCAGCCATAATCAGCCATTATCACCCATTATCAGCCATAATCAGCCATTATCAGCCATAATCGGCCATTATCAGCCATTATCAGCCATTATCAGCCATTACAGAGTCCCTGTGCCTTTAGTGGAAGATGCACATCAGCTCTTAACATCCTGTGACATCAGTAACAAGGACATGTTCAACAAATCAGATTGAATGTTTAGTAGCTAATCGCAGATGTTAGCCAACCACACCCAAGTCTAAATGTTATATTTAATGATTGAAATGCAGTTTTTTGTCATTACTAAATTAGTTATATTGGAATTGCAGTTACAATCATTAGCTAGGAACTTAAAGAAAATGTAAGACAACTACTGAACACTCCAGTTGTCAAAACAGCAGCCAAGCGTCTTAAGATTGGAGTCTCTCCTGATAGTGAATTCCAAAGGATTATACTTGGATTTAAATGAGGAATTAGAATGGATTTAAAACACCCCTCAGCTGGCAAATATCTGGACTGTGTAAAATATCTTACACATACCTCTGTATCCATAGTAACATATCTTACACATACCTCTGTATCCATAGTAACATATCTTACACATACCTCTGTATCCATAGTAACATATCTTACACATACCTCTGTATCCATAGTAACATATATTACACATACCTGTATCCATAGTAACATATCTTACACATACCTGTATCCATAGTAACATATATTACACATACCAGGATCCATAGTAATATATCTTACACATACCAGTATCTATAGTAACATACTGTATTTTACACATACCAGTATCCATAGTAACATACTGTATTTTACACATACCAGTATCCATACTAACATACTGTATTTTACACATACCAGTATCCATAGTAACATACTGTATTTTACACATACCAGTATCCATAGTAACATACTGTATTTTACACATACCAGTATCCATACTAACATACTGTATTTTACACATACCAGTATCCATAGTAAGACTGTAATATATCTTACACGTACCATTGCCCATAAGGCACTGCATCGCAGTGCTAGCTGTGCCACTAGAGATCCTGGTTCGAATCCAGGCTCTGTCGTAGCCGGCTCTGACCGGGAGACCCATGGGGCGGCGCACAATTGGCCCAGCGTCGTCCAGGGTAGGGGAAAGAATGGCCAGCAGGGATGTAGCTCAGTTGGTAGAGCGTGGCGTTTGCAACGCCAGGGTTGTGGGTTCGATTCCCACGGGGGGCCAGTTTGAAAAATAAAAAAAATTATGTATGCACTCACTAACTGTAAGTCGCTCTGGATAAGAGCGTCGGCTAAATGACTGTAATGTAAAATGTTAAAAACACCTTTTTTTCCTATCACATGGGACATTTGGAAATACTCCACTTCCCATGTGACATTAGGCCTCCATTTATTCATCCACACAGTGTGTGTGTCTGTACACATTTTACTATACTGGTCAGTACCAGAAGTCCTCACAAGAATAGTAAAGCAACTCCAATTCAGAGAAGTGAGGACGTTTTGCCAGTCCTCACTTGTAAAAAGGCTAGTTCAGGCGTCAACTTTAGGACGCTCTTATCCAGAGCAGCTTACATGAGCAATTAGGGGTAAGTGCCTTGCTCAAGGGCACATCAACAGATTTCTCACCTAGTCGGCTCGGGGATTAGAACCAGCGACCTTTCGGTTACTGGCACAACGCCCTTACCCACTAAGCTACCTGCCGCCCTGACTTTAGGGTTATAATTAGGGTTAATCAAGCTATGTAGCCTATTGATTCCTTCATTATGAATAAATAAAATAAAACATGTGTTTCTCTGTAATACTAGCCAACCTAGCAATGTAATGAAGTTGTCTTTAGCTAGACAGCTAAATAGGTTCCCAATCTACCAACATCATAACTAGCTAAAAAGCCATTCTAGGCTATCAATCAAGTTAGAGTAGCTAGCTATCTATCTTAGCTGGCACGACTGGTGGCAAGGTTGGTAGACTTTAGAAAAGCAAGCAATAACTAAATGTACTGAATGAGACTCACATTGCTATCAGATTTTAGCGGAGATGCAGAGAAGCATATATAGTTCAACGTATCCACTGTGAAGTTCATAGACAGAGCAATGCCTGCAAAGATTGACAGACATTTACATTGTTATTTTCAAAACTCAAATGACAATATATAGATACACAATAGTGTTGTCGCCAGAATTCTGACTTCGATACCCGATACCAGGTTTAGTATCACAATACTCCATACCATCACGATACCCATATTGATAACCATATTGATAGACCATATTGATAACCATATTGATAGATCATATTGATAGACCATATTGATAGACCATATTGATAGAGCATATTGATAGAGCATATTGATAACCATATTGATAACCATATTGATAGACCATATTGATAGATCATATTGATAACCATATTGATAACCATATTGATACACCATATTGATAGACCATATTGATAACCATATTGATACACCATATTGATAGACCATATTGATAACCATAGTGATAGATCATGTTGATAACCATATTGATAGACCATATTGATAAAACATATTGATAAATCAAATCAAATCAAATTGTATTGGTCACATGCGCCGAATACAACAGGTGCAGACATTGCAGTGAAATGCTTACTTACAGCCCTTAACCAACAGTGCATTTATTTTAAACAAAAAAAGTAAGAATAAAACAACAACAACAAAAAAGTGTTGAGAAAAAAAGAGCAGAAGTAAAATAAAGTGACAGTAAGGAGGCTATATATACAGTAAAATAAAGTGACAGTAGGGAGGCTATATATACAGGGGGGTACCGTTGCAGAGTCAATGTGCGGAGGCACCGGCTGGTTGAGGTAGTTGAGGTAATATGTACATGTGGGTAGAGTTAAAGTGACTATGCATAAATACTTAACAGAGTAGCAGCAGCGTAAAAAGGATGGGGTGGGGGGGCAGTGCAAATAGTCCGGGTAGCCATGATTAGCTGTTCAGGAGTCTTATGGCTTGGGGGTAGAAGCTGTTGAGAAGTCTTTTGGACCTAGACTTGGCACTCCGGTACCGCTTGCCGTGCGGTAGCAGAGAGAACAGTCTATGACTAGGGTGGCTGGAGTCTTTGACAATTTTGAGGGCCTTCCTCTGACACCGCCTGGTATAGAGGTCCTGGATGGCAGGGAGCTTTGCCCCAGTGATGTACTGGGCCGTACGCACTACCCTCTGTAGTGCCTTGCGGTCAGAGGCCAAGCAGTTGCCATACCAGGCGGTGATGCAACCAGTCAGGATGCTCTCGATGGTGCAGCTGTAGAATTTTTTGAGGATATTGATAGAGCATATTGATAGAGCATATTGATAGAGCATATTGATAACCATATTGATAACCATATTGATAACCATATTGATAACCATATTGATAGAGCATATTGATAGAGCATATTGATAGAGCATATTGATAGACCATATTGACATCAAGCATTCTATGTATCTGATGTGTCCATCTGAGGACATTCCAAAACAATCCAGAAGTGCCTCCATCAACAGCAGGAGGATGGAATTTACCACATGGTAACATGTCAAAATCACCGGTTCCACATGGTAACATGTCAAAATCACCGGTTCCACATGGTAACATGTCAAAATCACCGGTTCCACATGGTAACATGTCAAAATCACCGGTTCCACATGGTAACATGTCAAAATCACCGGTTCCACATGGTAACATGTCAAAATCACCGGTTCCACATGGTAACATGTCAAAATCACCGGTTCCACATGGTAACATGTCAAAATCACCGGTTCCACATGGTAACATGTCAAAATCACCGGTTCCACATGGTAACATGTCAAAATACACACTGCCCGTGCCAACCTCTGACGCCAACGTTTCCTAACTTTTGTAAAGGTATCAGATTAGATATGGATTAGAAACCAAGCTTTTAGAAAGGTGTCAGATTAGATATGGATTAGAAACCAAGCTTTTAGAAAGGTATCAGATTATAAATGGATTAGAAACCAAGCTTTTAGAAAGGTGTCAGATTATATATGGATTAGAAACCAAGCTTTTAGAAAGGTATCAGATTAGATATGGATTAGAAACCAAGCTTTTATAAAGGTATCAGATTATATATGGATTAGAAACCAAGCTTTTAGAAAGGTGTCAGATTAGATATGGATTAGAAACCAAGCTTTTAGTAAGGATCAGATTAGAAACCAAGTTTTTAGAAAGGTGTCAGATTAGATATGGATTAGAAACCAAGCTTTTAGAAAGGATCAGATTAGATATGGATTAGAAACCAAGCTTTTAGTAAGGATCAGATTAGAAACCAAGCTTTTAGAAAGGTGTCAGATTAGATATGGATTAGAAACCAAGCTTTTAGAAAGGATCAGATTAGATATGGATTAGAAACCAAGCTTTTAGAAAGGTGTCAGATTAGATATGGATTAGAAACCAAGCTTTTAGAAAGGATCAGATATGGATTAGAAACCAAGCTTTTATAAAGATATCAGATTATATATGGATTAGAAACCAAGCTTTTATAAA